TTACTTAAAAAGAAAAAAAAAGAAGAAAGTAGCCATCAGTCTGAAGTAAGAGGGGCTGGTGGAGGAGTCCAAGTCCAATATATCAAGTCTTCCAATTTGTTAAGATCAAGTCTTTCACAAGGCACAGTATAATGTAGCCTTTCTGAAATTCTTTCCTTTATTTTATTTTATTTTATTTTATTTTATTTTATTTTATTTTATTTTAAGGTCTCTGTATTAAGGATTTAGAGAGGTTTTGTTTGTTTGCTTGCTTGGTTTTTTTTTGAGATAAAGTCTCCTTATAACCCTAGCTGGCCTGGAACTTCCTGGGTAGAACAGGATGGCCTCAATTTCAGAGATCCACCTGCCTCTGCCTCCAGAGTGCTGGGATTAAAGGTGTGTACCACTATGGCTGGCTAGAGAGATATTTTAACAATGAATTCTGTAGGTCTAAAGATCTAGTCATTTTGAATGTGTGGAGAGCACACTTGGTAAGATTTGAGGTCATGACAGGTCCAGGTTTCATATTCTCCTCAGTCATGCAGTTGGACGTAGGGTTAAAGCAAGTATGCTTCATTTTTCTCTTTAGTGTTATTAGATTTTCCTTACTTGGGAACAATAATTTTTCCTTTTCAAGCCAGTCATTGATTTTTGCCTTTTTTGCTAATATTTGAATGGTCTCCACTATGGATTTTTCTTCAATTCTTTTGTATGTCTCATGCAGAGGTATTAAGATGTCAGCTCTAACTGTATGCAGCTGACTGTATCTTACTGGTATTTTCTGTGTGCAAATGTTATATTCACTCAGAGTTTCCAAGATGCAAATAACTTAGACTGTTCTGGTTTGGCAGGTTTTCTCTTTTTAACCACCATTGGCACTGAAGCTGGCAACTGAACACAACTTGAAATTTTGTGGTTTGAATGCTAGAATTCATGGCTAAACTGACTGAAGCCAAAAATTATTAATGTTGAAATATTTCACCCATTAATTAAACCTGAAAAAATAATGAAATTTAACTCCTGGAAGCCCGAAAACTTGTATATGGGTATATGTTGTGTGTGTGTGTGTGTGTGTGTGTGTGTGTGTGTGTGTGTGTGTCTAGCAAGAAGGAAAAGACATGAAAAGGATCTAGATAATTAGAAATAGTTATTGTATTTTAATTCAAACTAAAAAAAAATGCAGAAGAAATCCATTATTTCTTAATGTTGTTCACATGATGTGGTGCTTCCCCAGAGTGTACTGAGCCAGTGTGGGAGAACAAGCAGGCAGAGAAAAGGCCGTTTTACTTGCTTAACTTTTCAGCTGTTTAGACATAGTTTAAAAAGATGAGCTGGGCATGGTGGCACACGCCGTTAATCCCAGCACTAGGGAGGCAGAGGCAGGTGGACCTCTGTGATTTCAAGGCCAGCCTGGTCTACATAGTGAGTTCCAGGACAGCTGGAGCTACAGGGAGACCCTGTCTCAAAAAGAACCCCCCCCCCAAAAGAAAGATGGAACAGTAAATTAATACCTTACTATTTCAGGGTACTTGATTAATAGTTTTCTGAATATTTTTATATCTATCATTCAAATTACAATCCTGTCTTGTTTTATACATTCCACCAAATCACAAAGCATTTAGCAGTTTTCAACTCATCAAATTAGAGACTATATCTAAAATCTGGCACATTGACAGCCTTTGTAGAAAGACCAGCTAGTCCTCTATATCTCTGTTAGTTTGTATATACAGAGTAAGCATTTCTTCATTTTCAAAATTCACTTGCAAATTTTACTGACTTAAGCTTCTCTTGCTGTGATATACAGTGATTAATTTGATCTGTGTTGTCTTTGGTAATGATAAAAGGTCTGTGAAGTTTCAGTGATTAAAGCAGATTGCTCAAGGGCTGGAGAAATGGCTCAGTGGTTAAGATTTCCGAGTCCACGTCCCAGCATCTACATTAGGTGACTCAAAATTGCCTGTAACTCCAGCTTCAGGGGGATTTGATGCTTCTGGTCTCTGTGGGCACCTGCATTTGTGTGTGCACATGTACACACACACACACACACACACACACACACATACACACACACAGAGATACACTATTAAAAAATAAAAAAATTTAAAAACAACAAAATTATTCAGTGCAAAAGAATGCTATATATTTAAAGTATATTCAAAGAAAAGATTTTTTTTTTTTTGGTCTTTTTGAGACAGGGTCTCCCCGTAGCCCCAGCTGGCCTGGAACTCACTATGTAAACCAGGCTGGCCTCGAACTCAAGAGATCCACCTGCCCCTGCCTCCCGAGTGCTGGGATTAAAGGCACATGCCAACACACCTGGCTCTCAAAAGATTTTTAAAAAGGGCTATTAAGATGGCTCAGAGGGTCGAGGTCCTTGCCATGTAAGCCTAAACCTGAGTTCAATCATGGGTCCCATGATGGAAAGAGATAACTTACTCCATGGGGGCTGAAGAGATGGCTCAGCAATTAAGAACACTGGTTGTTCTTGCAGAAGACCCGGGTTCGAATCCCAGCACCCACAGGGCAGCAAACAACTGTCTGTAACTCCAGTCCCAGGGGATCCAACAGCCTCTTCTGACCTCCACAGGCATTGCACAACATGGGTGCACTTACCTACATGCAGGCAATACATGCATACACATAAAATAAAAATAATAAAAGTAAAAAAAGAGAGATAATTTACTCCTAAAAGTTATCCTCTCACCTGTACATGTGTACTGTGGCAAGCCTGTGCCCCTCCATACTATTTATACACACGCCATTGATACCCAAAATCCCCCTACTCATGCACACAGTAATAATCATAGTGATAATGATATTTTAAAGTATAAATATTTCTAGTATGGCTCAGATGATCATGTTAGCTAAATTCTGTTTCTAAAATGAAATACAAGGACTGGAGAGATGGCTCAGTGGTTAAGAGCACTTGCTGCTCTTGCAGAGGATCAGAGTTAGGCTTCTTGCACTCTTGTGAGGTGGCTCACAACCACCTATAACTCCAGCTCCAGTGGTGCCCTTTTCTGGCCTCCAAGGGTACCTACCCATAATACACATAAGTGAAAATAAAACATAAGCATTAAAAGATGAAATACATGAGCATCTACTTTCTGTGTATGTGCCATTGAGGTAAGCATGGTATTAGGGAAGGTATTCTCAAACATAAAAGATGTCCTCAATATCTGCTGTCTTTTTTTCTTTTTGTAGTGCTGAGGATGGAACCCAGAACTTCACTCATGCTAGAGAAGCATTCTGCTACTGAGCTCCATCCACAGCCATCCTTTTTTAACTGTTTGTTTTGAGATAGGATCTCACTAAATTGTCTAAGCTGGTCTTGAACTCACTATCCCAGATACACCTTGAATGTAGTCTTCCTGCCTCAGCCTCCCAAGTAGCTGGGATTATAGGTCTGTATCACCAGGCTTGCTAAGACGTCTTGAGTATAAAACAGTGTATTTGAGGGAATTTTCTGGGGGTTGTAATAATATTTTGATTTGATAGGAATTTAGACTGCCTATGTGGGGTTGGAAGTATAACAGCATTAGAATACTTGCCTGGCACAACACTGTGAGTTAATCCACAGTACCACAGAACAAATAATTCATAGAGTGCATATGCATATGTGTTTACTGATATTCATCAAATGATAGACAGGATTTGCATATTTCATTGTGGAAAATTTATCCTCAAAGGTAAAATGCCATACATATTAAACTCTGGTGAATGATGGTATGTATGCTGAACTGTTAGGAGAAAGCATATTGATGACTTTGACTTACTTTAAAGTGCATAAGAAAACAACCTAAGATGTATTGGTGAATGGATAGAGAGAATAGCTATTCTCCATCCATTCTGGACAGACAAAATAGCATAGGACAGTATAGTTTAGGAAATATAGTAAAAATGGTAATTACAGGGTGGGTATATGGATGTTTCTCATGAAAAGTAGCTGTTCTATTGCATTTATTCATAGGCAATTCACTGTTTGAAATTGATGTCAGATGGGCAAAAAAGGACTTCAGGATGGTATCAGTTTTGTTAATTTTCATAAAACCTATTTTAATCTGTTGTTATATCACTTTGCTATCACAAAATATGGAAGGTTGGATACTTTTATATGGTAAAGACATTTATTTGGCCCCCAGAATTCTGATGGCTAGAAGGTCCAAACAACATAGCACTGGCCTATTGGTAAAGCCCACCTGGCTGTGTCACAATATGACAGAGAAATAGGAAGTAAAATGCTTAGTGCAGAATGGGCCTAGGAACTAACTCATTCCATGAGAGCAGTATTAACCCTTCCAAGGAAATGTTCCCATGGCCTGGTTACCTTCTGCTAGGCCTCACCTGCTTCACCACTCACTCAATACCACTGCACTGGGGTCAAGCTCCAAGCACGTGAACTTTAGGAAGGCCACTCAGGTCCGTAAAACATAGAATCACAGTTGTTCCCTAATGAAATGAGGAGCAATCATGAAAATCAGTTGAATTACAAAGGCTCCCCACGTTTTCTTCCGGCAAAGATTATGAAAGAGTTGTTGAACTTATAGATGGGTGGAAGTTTTTTTTTTTTTTAATGAAAAGATAAGCTATGTCATATCTATTGACCCCCTTTGAATGACAAGTGGCTATGTAATATCTACATAGATTAAGAACCCCATCAATTGCTATTCATTAGTATTTTCACAATGATATTTGTCAATGCCAGTGTGTATATTGAATGAATAAATCTTCTAGCCTTTCTCAGTTACAGCTTCTCATCTGACTAACAAAGCACAGAGGATGATTTGAGTGACTATGTTCTCATTTCTCACAAGGGTGTTACATAACTATTTCTAATTCAGATGCATAGGGGAAAAATTAATTCATTACATACCATGGATGTCTTAGGGCAGTAGGACTTAATTCCAGGAAATCCAGGTTATGTAGACTGTTTTACAGTAAATTCTGAAAGGATTTGCTTGGACTGACTTAGTGTTTATACAAATTATATATATATGTATATAAAATATACTTCTTTTTAGATTACAGGCCCACCAGGTTGTGGAAAAACTCAGTTTTGTATAATGATGAGTGTTTTAGCTACATTACCTGTCAACATGGGAGGATTAGAAGGAGCTGTTGTGTACATTGACACAGAGTCTGCATTTACTGCAAAAAGGTAAGATATTTTATCATTTCCATTATAATTGCTTTACTTTTATAACTCACATGCAGTGTGGAACATTTATAAGTAACAACATTTGCCTTTTATTTTTAAGAACAAAGGACGCTAAACACTATTTTTACTTATTTTTATATGTTTTTAGTTGCGTTTTTGTACATTTCATATAATAGATCTTAATCGAATTTAGACTCCCCTCCCCCATCTGTGCCCTCCCATAGCCCCCCCCACACTGGTTTTCATGCATTCTTTCGTATATGTTAAGTCCTACCTAGTTACACGTTTATACCCAGATGTCCCTCAGTGCAAGTTCATCCACTGGAGTCTAGTCAGCCTATTTAGAGTCACTCCCTTAAAAAAGAAGATCTGGTCTTCCTCACCCAGCAGTGATAAGTTGCAGATAATTCCTTGGCTAGGGTTTGGGGCCTGCTGCCCATTTCCTCAGTTCTATGCTAGATTTTTGCCTGTTTGAGTCTTGCTCATATGAACTTGTAACAGTGATGACAGCATGCACAATACACATCCTGACTCAACGCAGACATTATTTTTAAAAGGATTTTCTTTGAAATTCACATAGGAAGCAAATTTTCTTTCTTTTTCTTTTTTCTACCCCTTTCTTTTTTAAAAAAAATTATTTATAGGGAAAAGTTAATTCATTACATACCATTTTATGTATATGAGTGTATTGCCTGCATGTATGTAAGTACACCTATATCATGCACTGCCCATGAAGGTCAGAAAAGGGCATCAGATCTCTTGGAACTGGAGTTATAGACATATTAGTAGCCATATGTGTGCTTGGATTCAAACCTAGGTTCTCTACAAGATCAGCCAGTGTCCTTAACTGCTAAGCATATCTCTCCAGCTCCATCTACTCCTTTCTTATTATTGTAAGTGGAGTTCATTAAAAAAAATATTTTTTATTTATTATTTTTATTATATGTGTAGGAGTGTATTGCCTGCATGTACGTGAGTGCACCTTTGTTGTGCAGTGCCGCAGAGGTCAGAAGAGGGCTTCGGATTCCCCTGGAACTGGAGTTAAGAATGGTTTGTAGCCTCCATGTGGGTGCTGGGAATTGAACCCGGGTCCTCTGCAAGAGCAGTCAGTGCTCTTAACCACTGAGTCATCTCTCCAGCCCCAGTGGAGTTCATTTTTAAGCTGTGTTTTGCAGATGGTTGGGAAGAAACAAGGTGAAGAAACAGGGAAGAATCTTAAGTAGTAAATGGGGAAGAGAAGAGACTAATAAGAGAAAAAATATAATCTGCTTTGTAAGTAATTTCTAACAGGAAGCATTAGTGCATGGACAGTTATCTGCTGAGAAGCTTATGTATCTCAAGATTGGGTCAATTACCATCTTAGTCAACTATAGATACAGTTCTTGGATTCTTTGCCATTGTGTCACTATGACCATTTCTCTTCCTTATTTCTGTCTAAAGAGTAATATTTAGTTCAAAATGGACCTGATTACATGTGGTGGTTAGATAGGAATGTCACCTTGACAGGACCTAGAATCACCTAGGAGATAAGGGCCCAGGCTTCCCATGAGGGATTATTTAGATGAGGCTAGCCTCTGGGCATTCCTTTAAGGGATCATTTGATTGGGTTAATTGAGGCAAGAAGCTCACCTTAAAGAAGGGTGGCACCACTGGGTCCTGGACGGTGTGAAAAGGAGAAAGCCACCTGTGAAGGAGCACTCATCAGTTTCCTCTGCCTGACTGTGCATGGAGTGTGACCAGCTGCAACAAGCTCCTGCTTCTGGTTTTCCCCACCATGATGAACTGTACCTTGAATGTGAGCCATAAACCTTTTCTTCCTTAAGTTGCTTTTGTTCAGGGTATTTTATCACAGTAACAGGAAAACTAAGATATCAGGTAAATTTCAAATTTTAAGTTTCTTTAGCTTTCTAAACCTTGTAAGTTTTACAAGCTTCCTCCCCTACTCCAGGAAGAAATGTTTCAGTTTGGAGGAAATAATCACATGACCATACAGTAATAGGAGATGCTTCTGCATTCTCCATATTTGTGGAGATTTTTGGTTGTATATCTTTTCTTTGCATGTGGCCCTAATTATATTTTGGGTTTTCTTTTTTGAGACAGGATCTCACTTTGTAACCCTGGCTGGGCTGGAAGTCACTATGTAGACCAGGCTGGCCTGGAACTCAAGATATCTGTCTGCCTCTGCCTCCTGAGTGCTGGGATTAAAGGTGTGAGCTACCATGCCCAGCATATTTTGGATTTTTCACATTTACTTATTTCTCTATCTTTTTTTGCCTGTATGTATTGTTAGTACTTATATAAAGAGGCAGGTTGGAAAAGAGAGAGGTAAAATTTTAGTCTGTTTATATTACATAATTCATAAGGAACTTTGATGAAGGTTATTTGAAAATGAGGTGGAAATTTATATTTTTAGTTTTTTTATTGCATTCCTCATAGAACTGCAAAAGTGGGGTGATACTGCCTCCATGTGGAATGTATTTTGAGATATGGTAATGATGAGGTGGCTTTTTGGTATAGTTGCCTTCTGGAGTCTGTCATAGTGGGCCCTGCAATAGAGTCTGATCTTTACTGTCTGATCATGTTTTATTTGTGCTGTTACAGGTTTGCTTGACCCCTGTTAGAATCAGAGAAGGAAAGCCAATTAGCTGTACACACTTTCTTCTATAAGTAACTGAACACTCAAAGAACAGTGGATTGAACAAAATAGATTAATTTTTTTCACATATAAAGATCTGGTTCAGCTGTTCACTGATGACAGAGAGACCCAAGACTGGTTTATTTTTAGGCATCTGTACTCAGACTGTGCTCAAGTTAGTGTGAAGGAAAAGGGCCAGCTGTGCTTTTCATCCAAAAAGTATCCCCTTTACCCTACGTTTTAAAGACTTTCTCTTATCTGCAGACATTCTCTTCATCCACTGTAATCCTCCTTCAGGCTTCTCACTGGATCACTCTTTGTGGGAGAATGGGAAAGTGAGGGGAAATTGTCATAACCATAATGATGAGTTGTTTAGGGTTAGTCATACAAATAAAAGACTCATAGCAAAGAAGAAATGGAGGTGGGTGTTAGGTTGGTAAGTCTCAGTGTTCAACTCAGATGGTTTCTGTGCTTAGAGAAGAGTTAGATCAGGGAAATAAGAAACTCAAAAAGGAATTTGAAAGGGAATGCTGGGCAGACAGTTTTGGACTCCCTTCTTTTGAATGATTCAGAAAATGTCTGTTTTTGTTTTACTTGTTGGACATCTGCTTAAAACCCACATGTCGTGTACTTACATATGCCTTGAGAATATGGATCAGGAAATTAATCCACTGACCCATCTCCATATTTCATCCTGTGGAAATTTGACAATCATGAGAATTCCCATACACATGAGTTGAGTAAATGATGTATTATCTTTCTTGGAGATAATTAGAAAAAGACAGACTGGTCAGCAGCCATGGGCAATGCAGTCAACCTTACCTGAAGACTTTCCCTTGAGGGATTTTACTTAGCTATGGCTGGGATCCTGAGTTGTACCTCGGATAGAATTTCACCATGAGCCAGTATGAAGCAGAGTTGGGATTCATTACGTTAAGGCAAAGAGATAATACATCCTTCATATTAGAGAGAGAGAAAAAGAGACAGAGACAGAGACAGACCAACTTCTAAGTATCTTTTTTTTTTGAGACAGGGTCTCCCTATAGCCCCATTTGGCCTGGAACTCATGATGTAGACCAGGCTGGCTTTGAACTCACAGAGATCTACCTGCCTCTGCCTCCTGAGTGCTAGAATTAATGGTGTGCTCTACCACCCTGGCTCCTCTAAGTGTCACATATATATGCTTGTGAAATTACATTGCTCAAAAGATATAGCTAGGGGTCAAAGATTAAATTTAAAAACTAAGTCAAAGAAATGAGCTGACTTACTTATTTCTCTTATTTTAAAAGATTTTCTTTTATAAATGAAATTTTTGGGTAGTTTATGAGGTGTATTATTCAAGTTTAGGAATGAGAAATGAATGTTGATAAGCTTAAACTCAAAGGTCATACACTTTGGCCATAAGCATGTTTCTGTAGTGGTTTTCACATTCTTGTTTGAGAGTTCTTTCAGAAATAGAGTATTAGTTCATTACAGAAACTGATAAAATATTCTTTAATATTGAAAAGAAAGATGCAGGAATAGTATTTCTGTAGGCATTATATTGATATCTTTTTTGTTCAAGTTCTTGATTTCTCTGTCACTGAAAATTGTAAACCAGATCCCAGGGGTGAGGCACTTGTTTCCTGTCCTTTGTCACCTTAATCTTCTCTCTGTTTCTCTCTTGCCTCAGTTTCTTCTTATTTTTTAATCCTAAATGTTGATGATGGCTGAAGGCCTATTTCCCTCCCTCCCCCCCTCCTTCCTTCCTTATGTGTGTAGGCATGTACGCATGCAGTTGCATGTGTGTGTATGTAGGTTCATGTGCCCATGTGTATGTGTGTGCCTGTGGAGTCCAGAGGACAACCTAGGGTATCATAGCTCAGGTGTTACCTACCCGTCTCCCCGACCCTTTTAAAAAAATTATTGAGACACGATCTCTCACTGACCTAGAGTTCACCAAGAAGACTAGACTTTCTGTCCAGGGTGTCCCAGGGATCTGCCTGTTTCCTCCTCCCCATTGCCAAGACTGCAAGCTTGTGCTACCCCTTCTGGCTTTTTTATGTGGGTTCTGGGGATCAAATTCAGGTCTTCATGCTCATAAGGCAAGCACTTTACCAACTGAGCTATCACCCTAGCTCTTGTTTTTGTTCTTGTCTCCACCTTGCTATACAGCTAAGATTGGTCTCTCCTCCTACATCTTCCCCTGTAGTGGCTGTGCGAGCCACCACTCCTGGCTCTTCTTTTGTAGCTGATCAGTTCTGTTGTTGTAGTGCAAGAGCAGCTGTAATAGAGTGTAAACAGATGTTCAAAAAAGACTTTATTCACAAAGGGTAGTTTTCCAGTTTGAGTCTATAGTGCATAGTTTGACAATTTATATTTTACC